AAAAAATCAACAAAGAAAAGTCTAGAATTTTATTCTCAAGTAACGTTGATCAAGGTATGAAAGATACCATTAGTAATTCCTTGGGGTTTTAGCAGACTAGTGATATTGGCAAGTATTTGGGTATCCCTATTTCTGCTAAGAGGCATTCCAAGGCTGATTGCCAATTCATTTTGGAGAAAATCCGTTCGAAACTTATTGGCTGGAAAACCCAGTTTCCCTCTATGGCTGGTAGAGCCACTCTTATATCTTCTGTATTAGCCTCTATTCCTAACTTCTATATGCAAACCATGTGGCTTCCTTCTTCTGTTCATAAGGAAATTGATAGAATTTCCAATAATTTCCTTTGGGGATCTACTGACAACCAACGTAAAATCCACTCTATAGGCTGGGATACTGTTTGTCTGCCTAAAAGTAAAGGAGGCCTTGGTTTTCGTAGTGCAAGGAATGCCAACATTGTTGCCATGAGCAAGCTCAATTGGAGGCTCCATACAGAGGAAGACAAAGCGTGGAGGGAGGTCTTAGTTAGGAAATATAACATTAATAACTTCTCTTTTGCCCCCTCTTCATCTGCTTCTCATGCCATTAAGTGTATCTCTAAAGGCACTGAGTTGTTTAAGTCTGAAATCAAGTATATTGCTCGCAATAGCCATTCCATTTCCTTTTGGTTTGATCATTGGGTTGGTGCTACACCTTTGAGGTCTATTTTGTTTGGTCTACTCATTGAAAATGCGGAGTCTATTCTTCTCTCTGACGCCCTCAGTAATGGTGCCTTCAACATGGATGCTATTAGTTACACCTTGCCTAGTGACTTGGTCAAGGACATCTTGGCTATTCCTCTATCGAATCTTCCTTTTGTTGTTGATGGGTTTTCTTGGCAAGGGAAATTTAATGATAGTTTTTCTATTGCCTCTGCATATAGAAACCTTATTCCTATATCTACTCAGTTGTCTTTAGACTAGGATTGGATCTGGACTACTCCTACACTCCTAAAAATCCAAATGTTTTTGTGGCAACTTGCCCACAGTAGGATCAAAACCTTGGAGTTCCTTTATCATATAGGGATTGTTGTTGATCTTATCTGCAAAATATGTAAAAGGCAGACTAAGTCCATTGAGCAAATCTTTCGAAGCTGCCCCCCCCCCCCGCTATTTCTACCCTCTACAAACTTTCCCCTTATCTTACTAACCATATTGAATTTGATTTTAGAAGTTGGTTTAGCCATCACTCTCAAAATATGTCTCCTAGACTTATCTTTAATATTCGATGGGCCATTATTTTTTGCTTTTCCATTTGGGTCATCTGGAATTAGAGAAATCTGTTTCTTTACAAATAGCATAACTTTGATCCTAAGAGGACCTTTTATTTGATTGTTGAACGAGCTGTGGAATTTTGGTTTTCTTACCCCCTTCCTTCATCTAAAAGTACTATGGCTACTAGGTTGATTGGTTGGGACCCTCCTCCACCAGGATGGCTCAAACTTAACACTAATGGATCTACTGTTGGTAATCCCAATAATGCTAGTTGTGGAGGCCTTTTCAAGGATTATCCAGGGCATTGGGTTATTAGTTTCACAAGCAATATTGGCCTTACTACTGCACTCGTTGTAGAATTATATGCCATTAGGGATGGTCTCAATATTGTTGTTTCTCATCACTTCCACTCTGTTATTGTTGAAATTGATTGTCAGGTTGCTTATCTTCTTTTGACTATTACTGTCAACAAGCTCCACCCTTGTAGCACTCTTATTTTGAATTGTAGGGCCCTTTTGCACATTATCCCCCAAGTTCAAGTGAAGGATGTGCTGAGAGAGGCTAACATAGCTGCAGATGCTCTTGCGAAAAAGAGGGTTTTTGCCCCCCATGGCTTAAGAATTTTGAATGTTTTTCCACCAACGGTGCATCTCTTGTGTATTGCGAATTATGTAGGAGTTAGTTACTCTAGACCTTAAGTTTTTTATCTATGCCTTATTTATCAAAAAAAAAAAACTATTATATTTAGTCACAAGTTTTATTATAAATAGTGTTTATTATTAGAAATTAGTTTTTATTAATTATATTAACAAAAAAAAAACTAAAATTATGTTATTTCAATAAAATATTATAAAAAAACTAAAACAGTCTCAATTTTTATTTTAAAAATTAAGATATTTTAATTTTTTAAATAAAAATTAATGAAAACAATGTATTGTTCTCTTTAACTTTTTTACGGATATGATTAATAAATAATTTTTTATAATAAAATATTAAAAGTAACAAATGCTTTAACAGCCTTTATGTCGACACCTTAATGAATTCTTTCTATATAATATTGACTAGTGATTTTCTAGATGAGGGGCAAATGTGGGCATCAACTTTCCACAATTAGCGACCATGCCACCTCCCACTAAACATGGATTAGTGCCATGCACACAGATTCTCACACCCACAAATAATTGGACGGTCCAAATTAAAGCAATTTGTATACCCTTTAGAAAGAAAGTTGCACATCTACTTCTATATTCCCTCTTAATTTTTGGCCACCCCAAATAACATTTTCGTAATCCTTTCTCCTAACTGTTTTAACTAAGGGTTGTTTGTTTTAGCATTATAAAAATAATTATCAATTATTGACTTTAATAAAATAGATTAAATATTTTAAATTATAAATAATAATAATTATCAATTATTAAATATTAACCATCAGTTATCCACTGTAATCCAAATAGCGCTTAACTTTCCCACTCTTTTAACATTTTTCGTTTTCCTTTTCCCCCTTTGTCAATTTGCTTTATCATGTTTTCTCCATATGGAAAATGACTTGCCTCTAGCTCTCTCTCATTGTCATCGGTAAGGTAAACGAATAATTATATTCTTAGTGGGAGATTAATTAATTAAGATGACCTAACTAAAGAATATTAATAAATAAAATATAAGAGATTAGTATTTATCAACCAAATTTGTAAAAAAATTAGGTAAAAAATACTTTAAAATTACATTATTTTAATAAAAATATTATAAAAAAGACTAAAGCAATATCATTCTTACTTTTAAAATAAGTTATTTCAGTTTTTTCTAATGTAAGTTTATTGAAATGACATAATTTTAGTTTTTTTTAATGTATGTTTATTTTAGTATTTATCAACCAAATTTGTTAAAAGATTAGGTAAAAAAATACTTTAAAATTACATTATTTTAATAAAAATATCATAAAAAAGACTAAAAAAATATCATTCTTACTTTTAAAATAAGTTATTTTA